ATGGTTAATTGAGAAGGTGGATGCTAATTGTCGTAGCACTGGACGGACGCCAAGGCTCGTGATTTTATCTCAGAAGAGTATCCTTGGTTCCTCGATACTTGGGATACGTTCCCCTTCAATATTCAGCGCGCCGATGCTATCCGATACTTTGTCCTTCACCACTATGGCGGTATCTATCTCGACATGGACACCCTCTGCAACGCGACCATCCCCCTACACCGAATCGAGGCCGACGGCACCAAGCACCACGCCGTCTTCAAGAGCACAACACCCACCGGTGTCTCCAACGACATGATGATAACCTCTGCGCACCATCCCGCCTTCACAAAAGCCCTCTCCCGAATCCAGCTATACAACGACATAACCCGTCCCTGGGCGCACATCCTCCCGCACGTCGCAGTAATGGTATCAGCCGGACCGCTCTTCCTCACCATGGCGCTGAAGAATTATCTGCTTGAGCAGCCGTCGCTGCCTGAGACTACGATACAGGTGATCAATGCGACCGAGCTTGAACCTTATCTGACTGATTACGAGGGCGCGTCGTGGCATCATGGCGATACGAAGGCGATTATGTGGTTGGGTGATCACTCGTGGGTCTGGTACGTGCTCACTGTGATTGGGGTAGTCGGAGGCTTGTATTTGATCAACATGCTCCTGATGAAGTGCTGGGCGCGGTTCTTTGAGAAGGCTTCCAGTGATGAGGCCAAGGATGCTATCAAGCTCACGTAGACGGGGTTATGCTTAATTACATATGACTATAATAATTTTAATGGCAGCGAATGGTTCTTCACAGTCTGTGATACTTCCAATATCGCGCATCTCTGTGTCTAGGCTTCAGCAACGCTTATTGAGGTCCATTCTGACCGCCCCATTCAAGACACGCCAGCCTCGTGGCTTATCTCAACACGTCAGTGCGTTGACCAATCCCTCAGATTTAAATGTGACAGTCCCAAGGTCAATGCAACACTGCATGAGTTCATCAGCCGACATACGCGCGTCCAAGTTAATCTTGGTCCAGACCGTTCCGTGCCGCGGAGGAACTCAGTGAGATGACGTCGGCATAGCTCTTGGGGGAGAATAACCCCGCAAAGTAGGTTGGGCTAGGCTGTATTTGAGGTTGTGACAGGTTTCTTGCATGTCATTGGTGTTTTGAGGGAGCTTTGTATGCAGTGCTCTCGATTGGTGCGGTCATGGGGAGTGATGGTCGTCTAGACTGGTTGGATTGATGTTGAGTCGGGTTCGATTGCTTGCGTCGTGAAGAACGTCCACATGACCAGTTTTTGGTGTTGTAAGACGCGGTGCGAAGCCAGCCTCACTCATCTCAATATGGACTGACACTTGGAGCACAATACGAAGTCCAATAAATAATGACTTTTATTTCGCGCCATGCTTTCTAACCAACAATTCCGACAGCCAATCGCTGCGATGATTATCCAACCTTTTACAATACATATCCTACACTGCATCATTTACTGAGACCCAGTCTCCGATGCCTCACCCTCCAATTCCTTCTTCTCCTTCTCTTTCTTCTCGATAGTTGTTTGCTTCTCCCACATAGCATGGTATCGTCCTCCCTGAGCCAAAAGATCATTATGTGTTCCGCGCTCAACGATCTTGCCCTTGTGAAGAACGATGATCTGGTCTGATGTGGTGATGGTAGAGAGGCGGTGACTGAATACTGTTAGTTATTGTTTGAGAGGTTGATGATAGACTTACGCGATTGTGATGGTTGTGCGACCTTCGGTGACGCGCTCGAGAGCATCTTGGATCTGACGCTCCGTATGTGAGTCGAGAGAGGCGGTTGCTTCATCGAGGAGAAGAATGCGGGCATCTTTGAGAATGGCGCGAGCGATGGCGATCTATAAATGTCAGTAACCATGCCCGCAATGTTAATCAGTAACGGTAACTCACTCTTTGGCGTTCACCTCCCGATAACTTCAATCCTCGTTCTCCAACCTTAGTCTCATACCCATCCGGAAAGTTGAGAATGCGCTCATGAATGTTCGCCGCCTCACATGCCTTGTAAACATCTTCCTCTGTCGCATCTGGCCTCGCGTACAGAAGATTGTACATGATGGTCGCATTAAACAGAACTGTATCCTGGGGAACGACACCGATGTTGCTGCGAAGACTCTCGAGCTTGAGATCTCGAAGGTCATGGCCGTCAATGGTGATGGAGCCATCCGTGACGTCGTAGAAGCGGAAGAGGAGCTTGAGAGAGGTAGACTTTCCGCTACCTGATTCTCCGACAATAGCGGTCTTTGTGCCTGGGGCAACCGTGAAGCTGATGCCGTCGAGAACAGGATCGCCTTTCTTGACGTGGTACGCGAACTTGACATCGTTGAAGGAGACTTCACCCTTGGGTGAGGGCAACTGGATAGCGTCAGGCTTCTCAATTACGCCAGGTGTTTCTTTGAACTGTGCCCATTAGTAAGTATATCCAATTTTCGTTAAGGAGGGAGTACTCACGATATCAAGCAGCCGCTCAGCTTCAATGAGATTGTTCTGAAGCATGGTATAGTACGTCCCAAAGAAGTTCAAAGGACCCTGAAGCTGAACAAAGTAATTGATCAGACTCACAAACTCACCAACAGTCTGCTCTCCGATTGAAATCTTGTACGCTGAGACCGAAACAAGCAACGCCGTTCCCAGAGTGAAAATAGAACTCTGTGTGAGGTTCAGCCCGTTCAACGACCACTGCACCAATCTCTCCGCGCGCTGGAAAACAGTGACATGTTCTCTGAAGCGCGCCGTCTCACGCGCAACAGCACAATTGTGCTGAACTGTCTCATACGCCACGATAGCATCCGTCTTGACAGCTTCCATCTCGCGAGTCTTGATGGTCATGTCCCTTCGTTGCTTTCCTCGGTACTTGGCGACGTAGATTGTGAGGAAGATGTATGACCACATGATGAAGAACACAATGATGGTGTAGAAAGCATCGTATTTCACAAAGAAAATCACACCAGCGACGAAAATGTCAAACACCATGGGAAAGACCTGAAAGCAGAAGCTTTCGAGAAAGGTGTTGATGGAAGCGCCGCGGCTGAGGGCGCTGGTGACTTCGCCGACTTTCTTGTTGAGGTGAAACTCCAGGGATAAGCCGAGAACGTGTTCAAACGCAGCGGAGGAGAGACGGCGGAAGAGGGACTGGGATACGGGGAGCCAGAGGAGGGATCGCGCGGCGCCGAGAACGCCTTGATTGCCTTGGAGAGCGCGGTATACGACGTAGAGGATGATTTCTTTGTAGGGGAGTTTGCCTTCACCGAGACTGTCGACGAGGGTACCGAGCTGGAGAGGTCCTAGCACGTTGACGGTACGTTGGCAGATGAGGAGGATGATGCAGATTAGTACGATGGCTTGGTAGACGGGAGAACCCTTTGGCCTGTGAGTGTTAGTGGATGAGCCGAGTGTGAGTGAGGGGACTTTACCAGAGGTAGGGAAACAAAACTCGGAACCCAGCAAAGTAATCCAGCCATCCTGTCCCAGAAACCTGCGTCCTTCTCGGCTCGGCCGCAGTAGGCTGAATACTTCCGTATCCCTCCGCTGCCCCATTCCCATTCTCAAGAAGTCCCCGTCTCTCCTCCGGCAAAGACTTTGGTTCCAGCGCCTTGGTCTTATACTCCCTCAGCCCCAACGCTCCAATCATCAGAGCCAGCACGAGAACTCTTGCAGCGCCGAGAATGTTGAGAGTGTCGACAAAGCCATGTGATACTCGAAGTTTCGGCTCAACGGCTGAGAGAGCAGCTGCGATCACAATCTCTGCAAGGGCACCGACGCACCATGCTGAAAGGTGAGCAGAGTTTGGATTCCACGGTCCTTCGGGGTCTGGAAGAAGCCCAGCGACGTAGTACAATAACACTCCAACAAAAGATGCCTGAAAGTGGTCAGTTATCCATCATGTAAGAGAGGTAGGGGAACGTACGAGATATGCGCTAAACGCAAAGGCAACACTGCCCTTCACACCATCCTGATCCGCAAAAACCTCCCTCGTGGCGTAAACCACACTCGCAATCAACAATCCCGAAAGCACAACCTGCAGAACCCAAATACACCGCGCGTAAAACTTTCGAATCTTGTCGATGTGCTGTTTCAGGTCACTGTCCAACGCGACTTTACGCGTCGTGCTGCCATGGCGGCTTATGTAGAACTGAGCGGACTGGACGCCGAGGAGCGTGACGAAGAGGGCGATGGGATAGGCGTAGAAGCCGATCTTCAATCCGAGTTCTGCCTTTGCCATGGCTGAGAGGGAGAATTGGGTGAGCGTGAGCTTGAGCTTGGGGGAGTGAGTTGAGGATGATGTCAAGGGATCGGGGTTTTGATGTTCCGAGGGAAAAGGGATTAGTCAGCGGATTTATCAGTGATGGCGAGTTCGTTGTTTGTTTCATTGCATCATTCTTTGGTGTGAGACTTCAATTTTTCGTTTGTGCATTTTACTGATTGGTTTGTTTGTTCGTAGTTTGCAAAGGGAGATGTTATGGCTTCGTTACTGCTAAGGTGCACTGGGGTCGTGAATGCCTCCCGCCATGCATACCCTTTCTGGACTCTTGGACCGGCCAGTGATGATTTGATATTATGGTAAGGTGACGCGCTGTGTGCAGCTGCATTGGTCGCCTCAAACATTGACTCGCTTGGGCAAACTGCAAATAAGGCAACTGATTGAGGCGGGGTGATTGAAACCAGGCTATGCTGTTGGTTCCAGATTTTGATAATTGTGCAGCTCGACGTGTCAATCGTTGACTGAGCCGTAGGCTGACTGTCTTCCAAAAGCAGAAATCCGAGCACACCCATTTGTCGCAGTGCGTCGATAATCACGTCTGAAAAGTAGGCTGTGGTGTAGTCTAACGACGAGCCGAATTGTACCGCAAGGCATAGAAAAGCTGTTTTAAATGGGCTACAAGGATGATGAGCGCGCTCAATTTCTTCACTCCCATTGTTGCTTTGGGTAGGTCCACATTTACATTGTCACAGTCAAGCATCAAGATTGACAATCATCCAAAATGGAACCGCTCGGTGCATTTGCCAGCATTGTCACCATCGTGGCATTAATCAGACCAACTGCTAAGCTCGTCAAATCCCTGAAGGGAATCACCTCGGATGACGGCTATGTTTCCAAGGAAGTTTTCAGAATGGTCAAGCGGATTCAGGGATCGGCCACTAGTATTGACATTGGGTTAGAAGCGCTTAAATGCCACTCATCAACTCTTGAAAAAATGCAGCAAACACAGTCAAAAGTTCTACAGTCCATCATTGACAACAAGTCCTTGGATATCATCGTATCTGGTACGGAATCCATTCGCAAGCAGATGAGCGATACAACACGCGACCTGAATGATATGAGAGAGAGACCAAGAATCATCAAGAAAATCGACTGGCTCCTACGGAATAAGATGGAAGTTGAGTCACTATTTCCCGAGATGCAGCTCGTAGTGGCTTGCCTCTCTCTTGTCTGTCCCATCATTAGAATAGAGATCGATAAGTATATCCTCAAAAAGTCATCCGGCGAGGTTGCACAATGTTTAAAGCAAGAGATGTAGGTACTGATGTTCTTGGTTGAGGAAGCGGCTAATAAAGGAAGAAAATCTTTACTCAGGCAGTTGGAAATAGTTGAGGAACAGTTAAGCATGGACGACGATCTATACTTTGAAGCTGCAACGAAACCGCTTCTTCGCCTGGCGCAGAGTGTGCGACGAAGTAGTTCGGCACGTCGACCTCAAGGAGCACCTTCTGGTCGAAGATCACCCGTCCCAGAGGAAACATTTCTGAGCCCAGCCCCCTCTCGCACCCCACAACCGTCCCCGAGAGCAAGGCGTCCTAAGCCTCAAAGTGATCCAGTGCCTTGCGAAGTCCCATCGGAGGCAACACGACATACATCCAGTAGCTCCGAGTCTTCTCGACCTCGCTCAGCCGTTCCATCATCATCGCCACAGACTCCAGACACGCCTGCGACTCCGCAAAGCCCTGATGCCCCCAAGTCACCGAGAATAGACACCTCGGCACGCACGGTTGGTTCACGCGAGGGAATTGTCCGGGCCATCCAAGGGCATATAATCAACCACGGGAAAGCTATTCCAGTTAAAAGCGCCATGATTGACAACCTTGGGTCCTTCAATTACATTTCAGTCAAAACAGCGACTCAACTTGGCCTTGATATTCAGGAGCTTGACCCTGGTGAACATAGCCAAACACATGACGGTGCACACGAGAGGATACTGCCTGGGAAAGTGATTGGAAAGGTTACAGGTGTAGGATGGAGAAAAGCAGGATGGAGAAAGCCTATCCCCGCTGAGTTTCTGGTCAAGGATTCCTACCGCGGTAGGATGTATGAACATGTCGCTTTTGGGATGATATTTGCCTCCGATTTTGATGCGGCTGGGGGAGGTAGTTGATGAATAGAGGAGAGAGATACCAGCTGATAGTTTCTTTCAAATATCTCTTGTTCAACACAGTGACCACATTAAAGAGCAATGGCAACATCCCGAAGAAGCACAGATGAGGTTGTTTGGACAACAGGCACAACCCCGAAGCAAAGGGCATAAACTTATGAGAAATAGTGTTTGCCACTTACTGCCAGTTGCCTATGATAAACAGGCCTTGTCATCACTCATTCGCTTGGCCAGGCTGTGGGGCTTGTTGTTATTGTGTAACACTACCAGCTGCCAGCGGCTGTAGTCACTCCAGGGAGCAAAATTCCTGACGTCAACAAGGTTTCAAGGTCCCTAAGCTAATCTCAAGTCCACTAAATCTACACTAAACTGCGCTAAATTTACCCAAGTCTTTTGTCACTTAGAAGTAAGATCCTAAGCCTTCCTTAGGCTGTCTACACCTCCCCAATCACAACTTCTCATCTCACAACAACACATCTTCCTTCCGCATCGCATCCCAGCTCAGCCACCATGTTCTTTGAGAGCGAGCAGAAAAAGGTGCTCGCTGAGTGAGTACAACTGTCTCGAACCATGATCAAGCTACTGATCACTCTCCAGCCTCCTCAAGACGGGCGACTACTCCGATCTCACGATTTCATGTGGGAAGGATCGGTACCGCGTCCACAAGGCAATCATTTGCCCACGATCGCCCTTCTTTAAGGCCGCTTGCGATGGCAAATTCAAGGTTTGTGCTTTGTGATAGCTTGTGCTGGGGTTAAGGCTGACTTTTGCAGGAGGCGCAAACAGGCACCATCAACCTTCCCGACGACGATCCGATCGCAGTACGCATGATGATCGAGTATTTCTATCACGCTACGTATACGCCACCGGCTAGGACGACTATCTTTCGTGATGCCGCTATCGATGCGTATCTCTCAGATACCGAATACAATGACGAGCAAGAAAAGACGAAGATGGAGCTCTATGGCGCAACTTTCATCGGCAACAAGAGGGTCAAGAGGCTCACTGCACTGCCGGAGGCTCCAACTATTCCCGGCTCTCAACCTTTTCCCTCTCTATTCGATTTGCCCGCTAGTGGTGCTTTTCCGCTGCCGGTCGCTTTTGCAGGAACAGGCAGAGGATTTGGCCAGGGAGGACAAGGACTCGGTTCCTTCGGAGGCTCCAACTTCGCCTCAGGCCATAATCCCCCCCAAACTTCGCCGAATCAATCATCTCCCACACCCGGCCCATCACTTCCCACCTCAGCTGTGCCAGCACCAACCTCGCCTCTGCCTCAGCAACCGTTTGCTCCTCCGTTAGCCATTCCTGCCGAAAACCTCCATCTCCACGCCAAAGTCTACGCCCTCGGAGAAAAATACGGCATCAGGCCCCTCAAGACACAAGCTCTTGTCAAATTCGAGCTTGAAGCCCCCTTCCATCTTCACACCGACGACTTCTTGTTGGCAATCAGAGAAGCATATACCTCAACCATTGAAACGGACCGTCCTCTCCGTGATGCTGTGGTCGCGGTCTTTAGAAACAATAAGCATTTGCTGAGGAAGGAGTCTGTGAAGACAATCCTCAAGGATACTACTTTGGGTTTGAGCTTTGATATGGTGATGGAATTGGCGTCGGAATGAGGGCCCATGGATATCGAATGTAATGGTCTAAATGTACCCTAAGACACACGAAACCTACCTAAGTATTGTCATAACTTAGGAAGTTAGGTAGAAGAAACTCTGTCTCTCTAAGCCAGGTCTTTCTTATCCTTGGCATGTAGCAAAAAGCCTCTTTGAACCAAGAAACATTACAATCTTCACTCCCTCAGAAACATCTACTGGACTAGCAAATCTCAGTGCATTCATTCAACGCGTATTGTCATAAGGCTCGTCAAGATTGTGCAACCTATGCAGTTTGGCCAGTTCATCATTCATAGTCCAAACTCACTGACACTTTTGTTGATACCAGGATTTTGTCCATGAGGTCTGCTGCAAACATGCCAACCAGGTCAAACAACAACAAAGTATCGAGATTTGACCAGGCAATAACAACGATTGTTTGTTGTCACCGTCCCTGCCTGAATATGAACAAACATGCCTGCTATAAAAGGGACGCTTCCTCCTTCTCACTCTTCATCTTCCACCATCGTCAGCAGATGCTTCTGCGAGCCTCTCCATCTGTCATCAAGACCTCTGCGACAAGGTGTCGAGAACTCCCTTGCATCGCAAGAAGAATAAGGCTCTTAATTTATCATGCTTCCTCAGAATTTCAATTTCGAGGTTTTTGACCACGCCGCCGATCAGAGAAGAGCCCTTGGAAAGTGAGTATATCTAATCACACCTGGTCAAAACTCGGTTCTGACGGATAGCCTAGTCTTCTCAAAACCGGTGATTATTCTGACCTCGTCATCGTCTGTGGTCAGGCGCGCCACAAAGTCCACAAGGCAGTCATCTGTCCTCGCTCGGACTTCTTCAAAGCAGCGTGCGGCAGTGGATTCAAGGTAACTTTGCAGTACATCTCCCTTCGAAACTCGTACTGACTTGGTACAGGAAGCTCGGACAGGCGAGATCGAAGTGCCTGATGATGACCCGTTTGCTGTGAGCATGATGATCGAGTATCTCTATCACCAAAAGTACACTATCCCCTGGGACGCGAAACTGGTTCCGGAAGATCAGCGGTCCCTTGCAGTCACTTCCCCACCCGCAACAGCGCCGTCGAAAAGAACCCGTCATTCTTTCAGTGGTGACTCCTCCACCATCCACTCTCGTCTGCATCCGCTGCAGGGTACCTTTTTTTCCGCCCCTCTCTCAGAAGAACCAGGGTCGCACGAGTCTTTGGTCCTTTATCAAAATCTGCATGTTCACTACAAGCTCTATGCATTGGGTCAAAAGTACGGCATCGAGGGCCTCCAAGATCTAGCTGTCCACAACTTTGAAGCTGAGGTTTATATGGAGTTCCAGAGCAGCAGTGTTGACCACGTTGGGGACTTGATATATGTGATGAAGGAGGTATACGCCTGTGCCGCCGAAGCAGGTCGTTCCCTTTGTGACGCTATTGTGAGAATTCTGAAATCGAAGCCGAAACTTTTTGAGAGGGAGGATATGAAGGAGTTCCTGAAGGAACAGGGCTTGGCCTATGATATGGTCATGAGCTATGTGCAGGATACTTTGAGAAGAGGGGAAGGACGACGGTTCAAAAATTATATAATAAATCCCTAGTGTAGTCAAGACCCCCAAACTTTCAGGCTTACAGTCTGTGGCAAATCTTTAAACCTTGCCTGACTCCTCATTCCCTGTGACATGTACAACAAAACATCCAACGCAAAGTCAGTAACCCGCATAACCTCCCGCACCACCACATGATCCAACAACAAGATATCCTGCTCAATCATCTTGACAACCACATCCCTCAAACCCCTATCTTCGCTGACTGTTGAAGTATACACCTCCTCCACCGCCCCCGCAAAGTCGTCGACCCCAACATTCCCACTCTGGATTTCACTCTCAAATTTTCTCTTGGCTTCCTTCTTCAGGCCTTCTATTCTGTACTTCTCCCCCAGGGCGTAAACCTTTGCATGCAGGCTTAGCTGCGATGACGGGATAGGTTCGTCGACCTTCCAGCTTGCCCATTTACGCTCTTTGAGCCGTTTTATCCTCTTTCGTTCGACGAATTCTGCCCCGAAACGCTTCATACGATAGCGTTCGCTAGCATCGTAGTCTGTATCTGAAAGCTCTGCCTCAACATCGTCATCGTGTTCCTGCATTTGTGTTGTTTCGGGGGTGTATTCGATGTTGTATATATATCCAATCATCTTTTGTACCGCGGCGGGATCATCGTCCGGGAGCATTATCTCCCCATTTGATTCCTGTTACTATAAGTCATCCATTTTGCGAACCATGTGTAGCTTAACGTTTGTATTACCTTAAATCCACTATCGCATGAGACGTCAAAGAATTTAGATCGAGCGCAAATGATGTTCCTGTGAACTCGATACCGGTTGTTGCCGCAGACGATGGTCAAGTCAGAATATTTCCCGGTCTTGAGCATTCTGTTTTACAAGTCAGCAAGAAAAATCAGTCTTGAAGAGCGACGCAATCTTACGCGGGAAGATCTTTCAAATACTCGTGCATCCTCTGGTTTGTGCTAAAAAGCGGTGGTGGGCTGCTCTCTTGTCTGTAGTCCATAGGTTCCCCCATGGTGGATAAGTTAAGATACATAAAGTACGCTGAAGATTTGCCCGTGCCCTAGGCCTTGAAATATATATTTGGATAAAGCTTTTGTTTGCCGAGTCAAAAATTATAGAATTCATTCAAGAAACTTCATTGTGCGATGTCGCACGCTTGAGACTGAAGTTTAATCGCTCGAAGGTTTCATGTACATGAAGATGGGTCAAGCTAATTGGTGATGAATCTTAGAAGTTTATTTCCGAAATAGCTGATCTATAGGCCTAAGTTAAACTAAGCTTACCTTAACTCTTCATCTTTTAGGGTCAAAATTTGTTTGTGTGTGCGTGTTGGGGGAAGGGGGGGTTGTGTCTGCACGAACGATCTGTATTGGGTCTGGTTAGTCTGGCAACTGTATCGTTCCCAATAAACGTGACACCATAGAGGTCACTGTTGATACTGGCAGTTCTGTCATGTTTCCGTGAGGGTAAGTGAATATTGAGCTCCTTATCATCCGACGTTTCGAGAACAAGAGGTGGGTTTGGATGGCCGGATCCAAGCCGTGAGGGTCTGCAATGAACACCTAGCAGACACTTTTCTATCCGGCGCGATGAAGTGAGGCGATCTTCATAAGAACATCATGTCCAAGCTCACTCCCTTTGACGAAAGTTGCAAAAGCCTCGTGATTGAGTAGTCCAAGATTCTCCTCCACAGTTTTGACAACGACATCTCGAAGTCCACGATCTTGGTCGATCGTAGAGGTATACACTTCCTGCGCTGCGAATTTGAAGTCCTCAGTCTGGGCGTACGCTTTCGCCAGCGTCTTGAACTTGCCGACCGCGATAGTCTTTAAGCCTGGAATCCCATATTTCTCCCCAAGGGCATAGACCTTGGCGAAGAGACGGAGGTTCGAAGAAGGGCCGATCCGAGCCCCAAGCTTAAGAACTTGTCCCTTTACTTTCCGACGGCCCACGAATCTGTGGCCCCTAGATTCCAGGAGTTGTTTATCCTCGTCGCCGTATTCAGTTTTTGACAGCTTTTCCTCAACAAAGTTTCCGTCCTCTGGGATGTTGGGGTAACCGGCGAGGTCGAGGTTGTAAAAGTAATAAACCATGATGCGCACTGCACTGAGATCATCATCTGGCAGGTTAATTATACCCTCCAAGCCCTCCTGTATTCATCGTCAGTCTTGCGTACAGGCCCGAGAGAGATATTGACTAACCTTGAAGTTTCCATTACAAGCGGCGGTGAAGAAGGAGGACCGGGGGCAAACAATAGCCTTGTGAACACGGTGAGTGTCCCCTTGACAAGTAATGGTCAGGTCTGAATACAATCCGGTTCTGTAGAGCCTGACATAAGAATTAGCTTTTAGCTCTAAATCATAGGTAGCAACTCACTCAAAGAGGGATTTGTCGAGCATTTCATGATACTCGGTCTTATTTTCGGATGCCATATTGGGCAAGAATCGATAACCTTGATTCAAGGGAACGGTGTTGGAAGTTGGGTGTTGTCGAAGGGCGTGCTGTTGGTTGTCGAAAGGTGAAGAGTTTGTCGGGTCGAAACATCGGCGGTGGACAGGTCAGTAATGAGACAACCTGACTGGCATACTGCCACTGTGAGTCTTATGTGAATGTTGACACTGCCAACCCATCACAACTGACTAACCTGGGACTTGACAGTGGAAGTGAATGTGAACATGCTGACAATAACCTCACACCCTCCGTCGCACCCCATTTGACTATGATGCATTTAGCTCACTTATATCATTGCGGCGAGGGCAATGCCTCTCGATTCTTCTTCTCGCTGGTCTGCCTACTCTCGCGTCGGAGACCCCCCATCTCGCTCTCGAGTTCGTTGTTCGCGAGGACGATATGCAGACCTCTCTCCTTCCATTAAGTCTTGTAGCAGGATAACTTTGACAGAAATAGCCTGTGTTCCTCCATATCTATAAAGTCTCCCTTAGTATCCATTGTCGCGTTGGTGTGCTGTTAGGCTGGAAAAGGACTTATTGCCATGAGTACAATGCTCTTGCATTACTCGAGGATTTGATGCATGCTTATGTTCAATACAACTTTAATTAAAGCTAGACTGGATTGGGACAAAGAAGTGTGAATCTCAGTTGGATCTTTTATGGCTGGGTCGCTTAGGCAAGGTTGATGTGTCTTGTTCCTGTGAGTATCTTGTATGTTCACCCGAACGGCTACCGCAAAATTACTTGGATGTTCATCTGTTCCTAGTCTATGTAATTTAATGGCATGCAACTTGTCTCCCCCGAGCTTTCACACTGCTCATCCTTATTGCATAATGCCCTTTAAGCTCTGGACTACCTTTGCATATGCTAAATCTCTCGCCTCAGGCCTAAACGTCTTTGGGTTCGTAGTCTTATCGCAGCCATGAGCCCCCTCGATCCTGACAATCTCAACATCACGACCAGCCCGCTCCAATTTCTCCCCGAAAACTTCAATCTCGGGCGTGAATATATCCCCAGAAGAAGCAACAAGAATAACATGCTCTGGAAAGGAAGTTCCGTCGGCATACATCGGTGATGCCTTGGGCGACTTGCGGTCTTCAACGCGCGGTACGTACGCGTCAGCAAGAAGATGCTGGAAGGATACGGGAAGAGGTCGGATGGGCTCCGGGACCGTCTTATTTTCCGGCGGAATGGAGAAGTCAACGCCTGGATAGAAAGCGTATACCGCCCTGATGTTCATCTTGAACTCACGCCTCAGTTCAGATGATGCAACAAGCGCTAGGTTTCCTCCAGAACTAAACCCCGACAACGCAACCTTGTCAAGATCAAACATTTGTGCCTGACTCTCAACCCATCTGAAAGTATCTTCAGCGTCTTCAACGGCTCCGGGAAGGGGGTACTCGGGTGCTTTTCGGTAGTCAGCATCAAGAACCAAGATATTGTTCTCTGTAGCTATTTTCTCGCAGAATTGATGGTCCATGCCGAGATTCGGGAGGCAATAAGCGCCGCCGTGCCAATTGATCACGAGACCATATTTCTTAGTATCGTTGTAATTCTTTGGATAGTAGACCCAAGCGCTAATGAAGCGATTAAGGTCGCGGGAGGGAATGCGGATGAGTTTGCGGATGCATGTTGGTGAGGGCGTGAAGTGAGCACGGGTGAAGATGTAGTTTATGAGACGGATAAGAGTGACAATTGCTTTAAGGCGTATGTACTGCCAGAATTTATGGTCTGCCATGATTGCTGTCGTTGAAGCGTTTGGACACTTAGAGAATTCATGAGGCTCTGCGTTCCCTTGATGGCGTTGGCTAAGATCGCCTTTTATGATAAGCCTTTGATTGCCGATCAGCCCGTGAGGGAAGGGAATTGAGGATAGTGATTGGCTCATCGACGACTCCACTGGTGCTGACCGGCCGTGAGTCATCTGGCGAGCGAGTCTTAGTGCCAATACAGGATACGCTAATAAGATCAGTTCACAACTGCAATTTGTATGCGTGGTTTCTTTGAACTAAACAATTATCATATTCTAGTCTCTGCAATATTAACATAAATGGTTATACACTCGCTTCCATAGAGGCCATTTCCGCCTTGCTTGTTCCTCCTCTTCATTCCAAACATGGAGATATCTTCTCCCCGTATTAATATCTATATCCTTATCCCTCACCACCTTTGTCCCCACCCAGGTCTTATGCGTAAAGTAGAACAGAAATATGATAGGGATCGTCAAAATCTGCAGAAAGAAGTTCTTGAACCGTTCAGGCGTTGTGAGGGGGTCTTCACCCTCCGCTTGGATCGGCGATATGGCAACCCAGATCTGAAGAACCAGAACAGTTCCGTAAGCTGCGAGTGCAACCCAAGACCCCCAAACTCCAACCTGTGACCGGAAGGCAAGCTGGGATACATTGTATCCTGATAGGCGCCATGCTCTTCGAAAGCGAATATGGCAGACGCAGATGGAACTCCAGGTGAAGAGAGTACTTAGCCCACTGATTGCAAGCAGCCAGTTGAAGATCTCGTTATGGATCTTCGAGTTCGCGGTGAATGCTAGTAAGCCAAGCAAACCGCAGCAAATAATGGCAACGAGGGGTCGTCCAGTTCGATCAATGTATGCAAATACCTTCGGCGCAAGTGACTGTTCCGCCAACGCCGCCAACGTCCGTGATGCCGCATACACAGCCGTATTCCCGACGCTGATCAGCGATATCAGAATAACAGCATTCATAATATCCGGCAAAACATCCGAGCCGCTCATCTCAATCGCTATCACGAATGGACTAGCCGCCGCATCAGAACCGTATTTGGCCCCCAGCAGTCTCGGCTCATTGTACGGCACCAGCAACCCAATGAGTAGAACCGAGAGAATATAGAACAGAGAAATCCTCCAGAAGACTTGTTTCACCGCTGCAGGGATTGACTTTTTCGGATTGCTCGTTTCGGCTGCTGCGAGACCGACCATTTCTGTGCCAGCGAAGGAGAAAGTTGCTGTTACTAAAACGCTTGCGAAGCCTTTGAAGCCGTTGTGAAAGGCGCCGGGGTTCTGCCACCGTGTGAAGCCGATGTAGTCTCCTTCTGGGGAACCTGCGATGTTGATGATTATACCGAGAAGACTGACTTTGTTAGACGAGATTGTAGGAGGGGAGGAGTTTGGGGTTTAGTACATGAAGCCTACGATGGCTGTGACTTTGACGGCTGAGAAGATGAACTCAGCTTCGCCGTAGGCTTTCACCCCGAGTAAGTTGATACCAAGGATGAGAATGAAGAAGAGGACGATGAAAATACTCTTGCTTGCATTGGGATTCCAGTAATTCGTCGTAAATGCTCCTGCAATGATCTCAAGTGGTAGCACAATGAGATACTGCAGCGTATAACTGCCCAAAGTCAGTCTCATCTGATCTCATCTCATGCTCACTTATTCGCTTTCACTTACTTCCAACCCATGGCAAATCCCCAACTCGGATCCAAAAACCTCGTCGAATAATTCGCAAACGACCCTCCCACCGGAAACGCAACACTCAACTCCCCCAGCGCCTGCATCGTAAAGAACTGCATAGCACCCATGGTG